TGGGAATATTTCTTTTATGCTTTCTTTTTTTCTTAACAATTTATAATATTATTCAGCTTGCAGTATCACCACTTTAAAGGTTTCAGAACTGATACCGTGACCTGGAACATAAACAGCTAACAAGGATGTCCATACCATGCCGAGATAATACTCTTGTTTGGTGGTACAGACCACACAATTAGCTTAGTTCACTCAGACCTCTTCAGTCACTTTGTTTTTCCACAGGGAAGCAGGAAAAGAAAAAAAAAAAAAAGTAGTTGGACTACAATGTGGTATCAAGGTGCCATCTGTAAGTCTGCACGGGGCCCTTCTCCACCATCTGTGTGTTGACATCACACCCGTCTCTGTCCTCCACTGTGACTGCCATCTGAAGCTGAGAGGCAGGAACAAGCAAGCCAATGCCGCCATGGTGGTGAACATTTAGCTGCTTTAATTTGGGATGATTAAACATAGGTGACATAACTACTTTGCAACAAGAAATAAATGGAAAACACTACTGAACTGAGTTTTCAGCCAATAAGATTAGATGATAATTTTAGATTAGATGATAACCTGAGGCACTAAAGATATGAAAAGAAATGTACATTTTGTTTTTGCTTGCACATGACAAAACAGACTTCCGTCAAGAAACTACAATTGCCTTTTTCAAGGGGAACATTCAGCTCTGATAAAATAACGTGCCGTTTTGGGCTTTGAACAGAGTTCAAGTTGTAAACTAGGAAAGACGGTGCACCAAAGCCCCCAGTCTTCCTCTGGGAGTTAAGGCCAGGATAAAATTCACTTGATGAGTAGTTCTCGTCTTAATTTCTCGTCTGTTGGGAATTGGAGGATGCAAACACAGTTAGTCCCATCAAGAAGTTGGAGAATTCACAGAAAGCCGTTATTGAGACCTACACAGATCCTTCCATACTTGTGTATGTTCAAAGCTTAACGATGGTGAGAAATTTTCTCCGGAAATAAGATGACACGTAGGAAAGCAGAAGTTTTCTGAATTTTCTGGCGGGCCCTTTAGCAGCCTCTTATTTAACCAGAATTCATCAAAAGCTATAGTTAATGAAGTGGCTTCATGACATGTCCATGTAACAACAGGATGTTGCTACTTGCATTCCAAATATCAATGCTTGATTTGACTTTTCTGCAAATGCAAATCTGCTAAATAGGTAATCTGACTATGTCACCATCCAGAGCTGGTACAAACCATGTTCATGTCTAAATATAAGGGAAACAACTACAGATTCTTGTGATGCTTGTGCATTTCAAACTTGTTTAAAAAAAAATACATTTTTATTACCAGTCAACTACAGTTCCATAGCAAGCTACAACAGGCAAAAACCTCAAACTTCCAACCCAGCAGATTCAAAACTCTTCAGCACAAATTCCACCCTTGGGTTTGCCAACATCTGCTCCATTACAGACAGCAAGTCTGTTCAACAATTGGGGAAAAACACCCAGAAATTTGAGGAAAAATTGGTTGCAATATGAAGTGCTATGGAAATTATAGTCTTCTGGATGTATCATCACATACAGCTTTGTACAAACAGTGTTTCATTTTTCCCCTAAATCTAAATCCTAATCCAACTTAGTTATCTATTACATTTGCATTAAACATTTGCTATAGCTTCAGTGAGTAAACAAATGAATGACAACATTTTTCCCTATGGGTACTATGAGTTCAGAGCATACACTTTGATATGTGGTTTCCTTCTAGCTTTACAGCACCAATGACATTTTCCTTTCTTCTCTCATATATGGAGCTTTCAGATAATACATCCTACATATCAGCTATTGATGATATTTGGCATATTTTCTGACAGGGAAATATAACCAACACTACACTCAAACAGACAAAGTGTTTAGCTTTTCACTGCAACTTTACACAGAGCAGAGCTCCAACACATAAAGCTTCTTTTAAAAGCTCTAAATATTTCTAACTAACTGTGTGTGTGTGTGTGTGTGTGTGTGTGTGTGTGTGTGTGTGTGTGTACACAAGAAAAGGGTAAACAAGTGAATCACTGCAATGAACACTTCACTGTTCTTAGACCCAGTATGTCACCAGTTCTTCTGAACCGATTACCTTCAGTTGTAAAGTAGACCATTTTATCTTTCATTGTAAAAGTAAGGCACTGGATTAAAATTAGACCCTGTGTATAAAAACCAGGAAATAGTAAGAATATTTGCTGTCATATATAAATATGTAATTTATGTTGGAAAAATGAGAAAGGAAAAGTCATCATTTGGATATATTAAAATGAATTATTTAGTTCATCGTCTCATTTCCAAAGCACATTAAAGATGGATAAAATGTTTTCCCCTTATTGGAATGTTATAAAGAATATTATGTCCTTTGTATGAGAAACTGGAAATAAAATATCAGTCCACGACCAGCAAAAATGTTGTTTCTACAGGCCTTTAGATCTGCTGTTAGAGATCGGACATTCAAATAATTTAGGTACAAGCCTAACAACTATATAAGACAAACTGTTGCACAGTTGATGATCTGTGCACATTTTTCACATATCACAGAGTGCAAGTTCAGGAAGTACAAGCAACATTTCCCAACATGCCACCCTGCCAACAACTTTTCAGAACTGGCATCCATTGTTAATCAGTCACCTGAAGCATCAAACAATTGAATAAATATTTGCAGTTAAAATTCAGTTCATAAGGAAAATGTATACTACATAAATAAAACTAGACTCTGGTTCACAAGACAGAACAATGACAAGCAACTGACAGCAACATGGTGACCACAGACATTGATGAAGGAGGCAGAGGGGGAAAAAAATAAAAAAAAATCTTTTACAGCTTCAGAAAAAATATTTTGGTTTTAGTTTTATTTTTTGTGCTGCAAAATTAAATTTTCCTCCATATAACACTCAAACCTGCCATAAGACAGATTCAGACTGCTAGAAATCCACAACTGAGTGGGATCCGGTTGGCAATTGCCTCTCATCAGGCAACCTGTGCAATTGCCTTCTCAACAGGACTATCTGTGAGGAACACTATTGATCTCTGGGCAACCATTTATTCAAAACAAGTTGCAATGGTTAAGATCATCCCAAGGTGGTATTGCATGAGATATTCGTAGTATTCCTAAAGAATTTAAATATATTTAATAAAACATCAATATCTGGATTGATACAATGTCACAATAGGCTGCTGTATTGATTTTTCCCCCACCCCAACCAGTGGCCAACCATCAAGCTGTTTCCACATCAAAACCAGTCGCTCATTGCAGACAGCTATGGAGCTGATTGCTGGTGTCTTGCAGACATTTAAGGTTCTGGTTGCCTAGGTGATCAACTGATACAACTACTACCAAGTCATATGTCTACCAGCAGTATCCTGGGTTCTCATTAGTAGTCAATTTAATTGTTCACCTGGAAGTTAAAGAAAGAGCTTTCTTGAGTCCCACCCACTTCCCTTGACCAGTGGTCATTTCGCTAAAAGTCGGCAAATATGGCTTCCTTTGATCTCGGGTCAACACGTCATATCAAATGGCTTCCAGTGTGAATCAAAGTGAATCACTCCCTTTTTGCACACAGCTCATAGTGAAACTTTTATAATCTGTCCAACTGTAACTAAATGCAGCGAATATGTGCATCTACTGTGGAGGGGCTGATTTAACAGTCACATTGACTGGGCCCTGATGCACTTAGGTACTGAAAGACACACGTTTGATTTAAGGACTTCAAGCATTCTCTGATTTTTTTTTTTTTTTAACTTATAAATTTATTTTTTGTAAGTAAAGAAGAAGAAAAACAACCTGGGAATTATGTGAAATTTCACGTCCCTATTAAGAAGTATATCTTTCCCCGCCCAGACAAACCTGAGACAGTCAGCTGAGAGGCATTTGATAAACTTTAAACATAAAAAAAAAAAGAAAAAAAAAAAAAAAAAACAGCTCTGCCCTTTTATACTTAAAAATTTCAAAAGAAACAACAGTACAGGTTATTGTATTTATGTCTAAATTTTTACACATAGCTTTAAAATCCTTTTGCTCAGTTGAAAGAGGAGCAATAACTTTGCCTCAAGGTAATAGAGAAATAAATAAAAATAATGTTCTGGCTGGCATCAAAAAAGGAGCTCCCCTACACTGTGCCATCCCATAGAGGTTCAAAAATACAGGATCAGCATACTCCACTCCAAAGACAGTTAATCCATAAGAGACCAAAAAGCTTGCGTAGTCACTTTGAAAGTCTTTACTCAGTCTCAGTCATTGATTTTACTGAAACTCCGTCTAAGCAAGCTCCAAGTCCTTCAAAAGTAATAGGTAGCCTGTGAGACATAAATAAATACCATCTGTTAACACTTTCTGAACAGAAAGTGTTAGTTTGTTTTGTTTTTTACTAAAGTGTAATTAGTAGCAGATGGGGAAGTGTTAAAGCTGCCACGAAGGTTATTAACAGTTGACCAAATGGATGCTGTCCAATGGACAAAGTCTGAAGATGAATAAACTTCCTCCGATAAAGTGCTTCATAAAACAAATCTAGAGGGTAATCTTGTATTCTTGTAGTACACCAGGGAAATCCAAACAGCAATCATCCTCTCCAAACAGAAAAAAAAATAATAGTGCCATGAATTATGCAAGTGGTAACCTAAGAGCAGTCCACAACACATCAGCAAACGCACATTGGGCATATGGATGGAGGACCCCGTGTTCAGCTTCCTTAGTTCCACTTGCATTATGAACCTTACTGTCCAATAGATAATGAAGAGAGTGCAGCTGATGTATGATTCGAGCCCCTCCAATGGGAAAACATCACCATGGGCGTATCCACCAATATGCCGTAAGTGATGCGTAAATGTACATGGTCATAGCTAATGGACTGCATGTACTTCTAACCTCTGCATGTGAAAAAGGACACTTGACTTGCCTCATATTTAACCGCCGACACGTTACGGGACTGATGGCTAGTGGTCAAGAGTCTCTGGAACATATTTTAATGAGGTGTGTAACTGCAAATAAACTAAAACAGGTTAAAGATAGATACACTCACCTTTCTGGGTGCCTTTATTTGTTATCAGCTGGCTCGAAGGTTCCGTGTAAAAAGTTTCTTTTCCTTTGAAAAAGAAAAAAAAGCCCCCGACTCAACAGTCAAACGGGGACACCCCGTGCCAGCGGTAACGGATGAGGAGCCGAAGTTTCACCAAGAAAACTAAGGAGAAAAATGCCGGCTGAGTGCGGACGCTGTGACCGGTATATGTCCTAGCTAAAATAACTCCTGTCTCCTTTATCTTTGAACCGCTCCGTCCGGGTTTTTCTTTCCCCCTCTCTTCTCTGTTAACTCAGCCTCCCCTGCGTGAATACGGATACTTACACCGACAAAGTAATTCAATGTACTGGCTAGTGGGAGGAGTGAGTGTCGGTCCTTTTATCTCCAGCCCTCTGTTACAGTGAGGAGGCGTCACCGGGCTGACTTTACTCCCGGCCTGCGCGTTCATGACACATCAAAAAGACAGCCCCCAAACCCTCCAGTTTGTTTGAATTAACCAAAAAGAAAAAAAGTGACCAGTTTTCTGCTAAATTTGGACACATCATGCCGCCGAAATAAATTTCTTTCAGCACTAACACCTCTGACGTCAAACGGTACCCTCATTACCATCAGCTGAGATGTAAACCGAAAATTCGAGGCGACACGAATGCATCAGTACTCAAATACAGTAGTTTATAAACCAAAGAGCACTGGTTTAATCTGTTATCTTAACTGCATAACTAATTCACCAAGCTGACATTAAGAAATCTTGATCAAAAGCTGACTTTTGTTTGACAAGTGCAACAAAAGCCATCTGAGCTTGAAATTATTTTTTATCTGCTTTATACGTGACATCATAACTGCCTTAGCATAGATTTTAAATGTTTTGTTTTTGCTGTCACTGATTAAGGTACAATGTCTTTCCATTTAGCCAAATTCCATTTTAAACATAATTTCTTGATGTCCATATTTTCTGTGATTCTCTTTACCAAGTGAATAGCTAAAGCTCTGTTTTATAGGACTTTTAAAACCAATACCGATGCCAATATTTTGTCATTTAAAATTCGGTATTCAAATCAAATCAAATCACTTTTATTGTCACATCACATGTGCAGATACATTGGTACAGCACATGTGAGTGAAATTCTTGTGTGCGAGCTTCACAAGCAACAGAGTTGTGCAAAATACAATAATGTAAACAAGCAAAATACAAGAATGGCTACATCTGAAACTAATAAATATATGTACAATATATAATAGTATATGCATTTCTGGATGTGTATACTAGATATTTTTCTACGTGTGTGTGTGTGTGTGTGTGTGTACATGTGTGTGTATTCCGATATATCAGCTGATACTTTTTTCTTTCAGCCATATGAACACATTTCTCTCACGTTTATTATCTGTAGTTTGTTTGGGGGTTTTTTTGTTGGTTTTTTTTAATGTATTAGTTTATACTCTTCCTAACAGCTCAGATCAGCTGCTTGTTGTGTTTGTGGCTCTAAAGACATTTGCAGAGTGCCCTCTAGTGGGCAACTTATTCAGCATTAACACTTATAACATGATTGAATATCTCCCATGTCATCTTTACTTTTAATATTTTATTTATCAGCCATAATAAATAGTAATCTTGACAGATCGACAAACAGCAAATATCGGCCCAAGAATAAATTGCTTGGGCTCTGGATCAGTGTACCTTCTTGCACCACTTGAAAGCATTATATCTGATTACATTCATTTAGAAAAATCACAATAATCCACCACTCATTTGTCTGTGCACTCAGCCTTTTTTTCAGTTCAGACTTGATATGCAGACACATGTCTATGACTCATCAAACGAAAGCGATTTATTGATTTCTGTCAAACAAACACCATCTGCAGTTATAATCAGAGACAGCATGTAATGGCAGCAGTCCCTCATGATCGACCGCTGGACGCACTGTGAAATGTTTAGTACTCATGTGCAAAAATTGACCACATGTGGAGAAACCATGCAGAATTTCTCTGCACATAAAGCTTCTTGTGATAAAAGTAAAACTTATTCTCACGGTGATGATCTGGTTGTCTTAGAAAATGGAAGTTCACGAGTGGGAGAAATGACTCATCTGCAGATAGAGCATTTGAAATTTTCAAACGTTTTCAAGATGAGTTGCATTTAATTGCTTTGCCTGAACTTTGGGTGTTCCTTATGTCAAGAGATGTGGGAGTTGTGGTTAAACCAAATCAGGTTTATCACCAAGGAAACAGTCAGTGCCAGTGATTCTCAGCTAATGGAGATGAAGAGCTGAAGCTATCTTACATAAAACAGTAAAAAATAATGCAGTCTGCTTTCACAGAGAGATGATCAGCGGGAGCAGATGTAGTGTCACATGACAAAGAAAAGGTCAGGTGGGAGAACTCATGGGGTAAGGGTAGGTGTTGGTTGTCAAACAGCACATTAGTTTCCTGGCACAAGTAATTCAGATACATGGCCTGCATGGTAAATGGCCTGCATTTGTATAGCGCTTTTCTAGTCCATAGGACCCCAAAGCGCTTTACACTACATTCAGTCATTCACCCATTCACACACACATTCACACACTGGTGATACATGTTGTCAGCCACCTCGGATACTCACATACATGGAGTCACCAGAGGCACACACACCTTGACATTACCTCTCTATGTGCCTCTGTGCATGAGGATGCAAGAGATCCTATGACAAATCCCCATTTGATGTGGCTGGCCCGGGCTTCCCTGGTCCTCTCACCACAGGTTGGCATTAGTCAGCAGCTCCAGCTGCTGTGCATGCTTTTGAACTCCACCCATTTTAAAATGCCAGCCAGCATGCACAGACAGGAAGGGCAGGATGGCTGGTGGGGGTCTCCCCTCCAGGTATTATTATGTAATATGGCAGAGCTTGTGACTGATGCTCACTAGAATGAGACAAAATTTGAAAAGAGCAGGAAAGATTTGAATATGGATGAAATGGTGAAATGCACAGACAGTCTAGACTGAGTGACTAAAAAGCCAACACTGCGGCTTTCTTCTGACTTTGTAGGTTTGCTGGAATTTCACAGCTGGGTATGATGTTTTCATAGTTCTCACATCAACTCAGAGAGGAGCTAGCATGGCAGCAACTCAGTAAAATATCTTGTAGAGGAGCTGATGAAGTTATTGGACGGATTTAAGCGATTTCATCATATATTCAACCACAATCCAAGAGGTGTCTCCTGACGTTGGCAGCCAGCAGTCAGCTCTTGAAGGTTTATGCTTTTGGGAGGATTTTTCAGTTTCCCTTTGGTTTTGATATGTAAAAAATATTGGGACAGAAAGTGCTACTCCTTGACTATCAAACTCACAGCTTTGCATAATTATATGTTTCAGATCAAACAAATTTAAACCTGAGTAAATAGAAAAAGCTCTTACCTGTTTGCTGCCAACTTGTTTGACAAATTAAAGCAGGCTTAAAAAGCTCCAAAAGGAACACTTCATGAAATAGTCTAAAGAAAGTCAAGAACAGCTGAAAAACAAAGTCAGTGACATCAATCAATTGAGCTACAACGCCATTTCTAAGGTGTTGTGAACCAGGTGAGAGCTATTATAATTATTAATTAATTATACATGTAATTATTATAATGTGGAAAACTAAACCTTCTCATGAATGGCTGGTCTACAAAAATTTCCCCAAGAGTGCATTGATTACTCATCCAGGGGTTCACAAAAGAACTCAGAAAATAATTTAAGGAACTGCAGGCTTCACTTGCCTTAGTTAACGTCCGACTTCATTATTCAGCAATGAGAAAGAGACTGAATAAAATTGGCATCCATGGGAAAGTTCAAAGCTCATCTCACATTTTCCAAAAAAACAACTTGATGGTTACCAAGACTTCTGGGAAAATATTCTGTGGACTGACGAGACAAAGGCTGAACGTTTTGGAAGCTTCGAGTCCTGTTACAGCTGCATAAAACGAACACAGCATTTCATAAAAAAGAACATCATACAAACAGTTAAATATGGTGGTGGTATTGTAACGGTCTGAGGCTGCTTTGCTGCTTCAAGTCATGGATGACCTGATGTAATTAAAGGAACAATGAACTCTACTCCCTGTCAGAAAGCCCAAAAGGAGAATGTCGGGCCATCAGTTTAAAGTTTAAGCCCACTTGGGTTTTGCAGCAGGAGAATGATCCAAACCACAGCAGCAATTCCAGCTCAGAATGGCTTAAAAAAAGAAAAGACAAAATTAAGCTTTTGGCCTAATCAAAGTCCAGACTCAAATCAGGTTGAGATGCTATGGCTTGACCTTAAACAGACTGTTCATATTCAAAAACTGTCCAGTGCGATTGAATTAAAACAATTCTGCAAAGAAGAACAGGTCAAAATTCCTCTACAGTGATGTGAAAGGCTCATTGCCAAGGGTGCTCAAACTATTTATTTGGTTTTGGGGGGCAATTATTTTTCCCACACAGGACCAGGTTAGAATAGCTATTTTTTTCTCATTTAAAACATGCATTTTATATTCATTCAGGTTATCTTTGTTTAGAATGAAAATGGGTCTGATGATCTGAAACATGTAAGTGTGACCAATATGCAGAAAACAAAGAAATCAAGAAGCAGGCAAATAGTTTCCCACAACACTGTACACAAAGGGCCTTGAGGTGACTGTTGTTGTGATTTGGTGCTATATAAATAAAAGTGAGTCCAATAAAACTAAACTGAATTGAACTGAACTATATATAGCATGTGTACGCATGGTTATACATGATATGTAATGAATCAAAAATGAAAGAAAGTAAGGAAAATATTTTGTATATAGTGTATTTGATTCCAGGTCGAAGCACATTTTGCTGCTTAAAATGCAGAGAAGCATGCAGGTTGGATTCATAAAACAAAATAAATAATGCAAGACTAAATATTAAATGTAAGCAGGTACAGTTTAAAGCATGTAAATAATGCATGCAAGTTACTAACCCTAAACAAAATAAAAGAATAGATTGAACGACAATTAATGTATGACACATCAAACCAGTTTTAAAGATAACAATAAAAAAGGGGTGGGGTTAAGTATAATAATTATACAAATAGAGACAAGTTATCTGTCTGCCATGGTCACAGAATACGGTCAGAACATTATGTGCAAAATATGGTTGTGTATATCAGGCACTGAAAGATTGTATGAGAACAGAATATGATACTATGGAGTCCTTCATTCAGCCAGGTCAGCTTGACACAGAGAAAAGCAGAGAAAATAATTACTTAAGAGTAAGTTTTAGGCTTTTTAAATTAGTTTTATAAATGATTCAGATGATTTCATTACAAATTAAAACTAAAAAATTCACTAATAAACAAAGTCTGCAACATGCACCACAATCACTATCACATCTAAATAAGTTAATTATCAGAGAAGAAGAGT